GGGGGGGGGAGATAGAACTTTAGCAAGACAATAACAGTTCAATTTTTCAACACTGTTTGGAGGGCTGGAAGGCAGGTAGGACGGATAGACAGCTGGGGTCAAGGGGCAGAAGGTGGGAGCCAGGCCCAGGCTCAGAGGAAGAAACGGCTGTCTCAAAGGCATTGCATATTATTTAGGTCAGACAAGAGCCAACAAGAGGCAGACACAGGACAGTTTCACTGGAAATGAAGGCAGGGAGAGAGACTTAAAAAAAAAAGATACAGGGCATAAGAATGGAAAGGACTGAGTGACATTCCAGAAATTTTATGAACATCTTTTGCCGAAAGCGAACTTCTTTGAAGGTTCTTTTTATGCATCCATAACTGATTAGCTGTACATCATGAAAAAATGCAATTAAGCTTTCAGTCTTATTTCTCTCTCATCCCCACTCTTAAAGGTGGTATTTATATGAACACAGGACTGTTACAAAACTTAACATTTCTAAAGAGTTTCAAGGTCTTTGGACAAAATGCCTTGATATTTATAGTCTTATTTACAAAGTCACCAGGTGATGAGTAGAACTAATGTGACTAAATTGGACACTTAAAAACAGTTAAAATGCAAATTTTTTTCGTATATGCATTTTACCACAACTTAAACAAAAACAACAACAGAAGAAACAAACAAATGAGAGACAGGGTAAAGTCTATCTGAAAAAACAAGAGATTAAAAGGCAGAACAAGCTCCAGAACACAGGTCGTGCTATATTCCCCTGTACACTCTCTCTACCCCACATCTTTATAGAGAGTGATGACAGAAGAACTACTGACACCTTTGAGCTGTGGTGCTGGAGAAGAGTCTTGAACATATATCACGGACTGCCACGAGAACAAACAGGACTGTCTTGCAGAGGGTGACACCAAGTTTCTTCTTGGAGGCTAGGATTTTGAAGCTCCGTCTCACATACTTTGGGCATGTGGCCAGGAGGGACCAGTCCTTGGAGAAGGACATCATGCTTGGAAGGGTGGAGGGACAGCCCAGGAGAGGAAGACTCCAGAGGAGATGGACTGGCACAATAATTGGGGCAATGGGATTAGGTGTGTCGGAGTCAGCGAGACTGGCTCAGGATCAGAGCTGTTGTGCATAGGGTTACTATGAGCTGCAGGTGACTCGATGGCACATTAACAATAGCATCATCATAGCTTGATATAAGATTAAAGTGAATCAGCCCCAAACTAACATGATCATGTAATCTTAAGCAAGCCCCTTTACTTCCTTGCAGCTCAGTTTCTTCATCAATGAACTGGACTCTGCCTAGCCTATTCCAGAGTATCACCAAGGAATATATGAGGTCTTATACATACTCAGAAAATATGAAAACATTAGAACAAAGACTTTCAGTCATGTCTTGCCCCACAATGGACAAAAGCCTTCACTATGGCTTTCATTTTTCTCTAAAATCCATAAAATCTAAAGTGCAAGCTAACAACAGCATGGTGTTCTCTTTCTAGGTCACCATGGGTTGGGAAATCTAATTTTATATTTCAGAGATGCCACAGACATTCACACTGATCAAGTCTTTTTTCAGGCTCTAAGGTCAAGTAGATCAGGCATCATATTTTTCTTTGATTAGTTTTATACCTTGTTCACAAATGTGTCACATTAAATCTAGAAATTGGAAAAAATAGAGAGGGGGAAGACAACATTTTTACAATGGTGGTGAGTTCTTATAGGAACAGGTTAACTGTTTAGACTTCAGTAGTTTCTCACCAAGTTTCAATGGTTATCTCCTTACCACCTTTCCTATATCCGTTGGTAAGTCAAAAAAGAAAACAGCTACCTGTGGGTCTGCTAAACAGCCTATCAATCTTACCACAAAGTAAATCCATTAAATTCTCAACTTTCACAAAACAGCAATTTGAGCAAGGCAATAATGAATCCATAACTGGGTAATGTAATATGACCCAGAAGACAAGAAGTCTGAAGACCAGAAAGAGGAGTAAGAATCAAAAGGAAAGATAGACAGATGAATTCTCAATCTTGATGAGAAAATTCAACTTGGTCTGCCACCCGCCTAGCATTTCTTCACAAGCGGACGACAGGCATGGGTGATAGGTTTTTCCACTGTAGTTACAATTTCATTTCACAAGGTAAAAGGCTCTCCTGTCCAACTTTAATAGGAAAACAGAGAGCCTGTCTCTCTGCGAATTACTAAAACACAGTGTTTGATAGCCTATTTTGTCATGTCCAGTAGAAAGGCCACTCTACTCACTCTCTCTGTACATGTCCACCATGGGGCACCAGCTAGTGAAATAAGAGGAGGAGCAGACGAAGCCAGCTGGCACAAAACAGTCCATAACACAACGGCTCTGGGGAATAGGAGAGTGTGTGGGTTCTATTTTTTAAGTTCTAGAAATCTGTTTCTTGGTCTCATGCCACTGAAGAGTCTTGACACAGAAATTGAGCATTAATCTCATTAATCTCCAATGGGACGTGTCCACAAGGAACAAAGTTATTAAAAAATACAGAGGAAAAGGAGCAAAACGCATTTAGCAGATGGCTTTTTAAAAAGTAATTTCGAAAAGGCTTCCTTAAGAATAATGAACCTGTATAGATTTTGAGTATGTCACTGCCTGATAAAAGAAATGGGGGTTGGTTTTTTTGTTTTAAATCTTTACTGTTTCTTTGATCTGCATTTTTGTTAAGTGTCATTGCTTTAGACTCAAAACAACCCTATATGGAACAGAAGGACTCAATGGCTAGTCCTACACCATCTTCACCATCCTTGCCGTGGCCAAGGCCAGTGTCGCAGCCACTGCGCCAATGCATTTCCTTGAGGGTCTTCCTCTTTTTCATTGATCCTCAGCTTGGTCAAGTGCTACCAAGCATGATGTCCTTCTCCAGGCACAGTCCCTCTCGATAACTTGTCGAAAGCACATGACAGGAAATCTCATCAACATTTTTTTTTTCTCTTAAGGAATTATTTTCTTTCTAGATTAGGATAACTAGATTTTGTCGAATTAATCAAAACCCACATTACCGGAGAGTTGATTCCAACTCACAGCAATGCACCATCAAGATTCTGAATCCGTTTGGGAGGAAACTGTCACTGTTCTCCTATGCAGCAGCTGGTGGATTCAAACCTCCAATTTTTCGGTTAGTAGCTCAACATTTAATAAAGCCCACCACCACGGCTTCTTATAGCTCAGTGAGTAGAGATTAAGTTCAAAACATAGATCAAATAGGCTCCTCCTCCTTTGTAAATAGCTGGCAGTCGAAGTTATTTAGAATGAACTTGGTCTTTTAAATTTTATTCCAGATGCACATCAAGTTTATATGAAGAAAGTGCAGTTATTTAATATTTACTGTTTACTAAATGCTAACTCCTTGTCGTAGAATTGGAACCAATTCATAGCTGTCTCTCCAACAGGTTTTTGGAGGCTTTAAATCACACTCAGGAGATTGGCCACCTTTCTCCTGTGAAGCCACTGGTGGATTTGAACCAGAAGAGAGGCCAGGTCGTTGGTTGGGTCAGCAGCACAGCTCCCTACCGACGAAGCCATCGAGCGCCCTACTAACCACTGGTGAGCACTATTATGCCATGGGGAAATTCATCTAGACTCTGCAAACAGGGTCAAAGGTTACACTGAGATGTCCATTTCAAAAAACACCATTTTGACTTTTTACCTGATCTGCCTTTCTTCAAAGCATATTTAACTAGTTCAAACATAGGAGTTGCTTTTCAATTACAATAAGGAAAGTCAAGACTAAAGATAAGAAAAGTAGAATTACATTCTTTCAAGTATAGTTT